TAATACCCATTTGGTATTTTTTTTTTTTCTTATTGCAAATTGTGTTCTTCATGTGTGTTTAGATTTGTGCCTATTGGAATATATATTAAGTTATTCATGGTGTTTCTGTGTGTTGTTAATCTCAGATTTCATTGATTGGGATTTTAGCACAAGAAGTTTGATTTGTTGCTTGTTCATTCTCTGAGATTCTCTTTTGGGATTAAAGGGAATCGGCCAAGGTAAGCCTTTAGTTTTCTCTCTCTTTCGATGGTTTTCATAGAAATGGATGATTATCTCTTTCTCGTGTCTTGTATTTATACATCACTATTGGGATTGTAAATCTATGTGGATTAGTTGTTCTGATATTCCTCTTTTCTGCACTAAATGGATATGCCCGTTTCAACTGAATCTGAGTTTATAGGAAGTAGGATCTTGTAAAAGTCTCCGAAGTCTGAATTTTTTTGTAAATCTGTTGAAGAAAAATTGGTGTATGAAAAATTACAGCTTCCGCGAATCTTGAGTAGAAGTGGTTCCCGGTGTTTGAAGGGCTAATTGGTTTATGGAAACTTAGATCGAGAACTTGCATAGAAGTGGTTCCTGTGTTCTCCTGCAATAGTATTACTAAATTCAGCTCATCGTTAGAATGCTTGTACTGATTAAAACTTGTTATCTGATATGTACATTTAAATTCTTTTTAATTGATGAACGTACTGCTTGCTAGATGAATTTTGGTATGCCGACTGACTGCTCTGGCATTGCCTGATTATGAATCTAAGAAATTATGTTTAACATATTTGATGATAAAGTAGATAAGAAAAAATTATACTCTCAACGATTTTGATAACCCTTGATGGATTTCTTTATCCTCTGTAGAGGAGTCTTTACATTTATATCTCTTTCTTCTGATCCTCCTGTGTTGTCCTATATATATATTTAAACCAATGACTAATTAATTTGTTCATAATTGTAAAGTCTGTAATAGCATTATAAGAGTGCTCATCTTCAGAATGCTTGTAAAGATTAAAAGTTTCTACCCTATGTATACATTGAATTCTTTTTCATTGATTACATGTATTGTATGCTAGACAAATCTTAATATGCTGTTTGCCCGCTCTGGCATTGCCTGACAATAAATCTAATGTATGTTTAGCATCTTTCATAATAAAGGAGACAGTTTATCGTAGCTTTTCCTACACTAAAGCTGTATATGGGTCCATTTTAGTGACCTGCACGATTCACCCATACACTATAGATGAATAGCTGCTTGGTGAGAATATGTCTGATTTTCTTATGAATTTGTGGAATTTACTTTGTTAAAATCTACACAAAAACATTTGTAACTTGCTCTAGCACAATTATGAAATACTTATTCAAACTGCCTTTCCGAATTGTTCAAGCCATGTTTGTTGGTGAAAGGTTGGATTTAATGTCAAATTATTGATTCTGGTCCCTAACATATGATTATAATACATTCTGATTTCTCTCTGGCATTATAATCAGCAGGGAAATGAAGTTTCAGGGACTTCCATTTTTGCATTGTTTCCGTGCACTCTATTAAAATTAATTCTTTGAATGTGTTTACTAATGATTGAGTGTTTCAACTTGTTTCCTTTCATCTTGGCAATGTTTTCATATCTATTTGTTCATTAATCTTTCATGTTGGTTATATAATTGCAAAGAATGTGTGGCGTGGATTCAAATACTCCGTTTTCTGCCCCATTTAAACAGTTGGAAGTATT